AGCCCACCTCCGGATGACCTCTCCGACCGGAAGGCCTGCCCAAACACCGCTTCCAACTCCAACCCACGTCTCCGACTGGGGATGCGCCAAACCCCTGTTCACTGCTCTTCTCTGACTGCGCGCGATCAGAGCCGACTGAGACTAACCGACCGGGGACGCCCGCTCAGTAAGGACCAGGAAACGGACGAAGAAAGTAAAGTAGGGCACACAAGTTAAACCGTAATACCTAGGACTGTACCCTGTACACCTATAGAAATAGTACTCTGCGACCTCTCTGGCACGATAGGACCCAAGCAGTGTTGTAGGTGCCGACATTTTCCCCTCAGGTATTATGGGCGCCATTAACTCCCATACGGTAAGGCTCCCCCACATGCCTCTGGGCATCGATAGTGTTGTGGGCGCCGGCATTTATCATACCAGGCGAGCATGGTAAAACCCCTTGCACGCCTCCGGGTATCAACAGTGTGGCAGACGCCGACGTCTGCCATACCCGAAGAAGACAACACGACCTCCCATGTGCATCTGACATATAACAGTATTGTGGTCACCTACCATCATCCTGTACCCGCCGGCGTGGGCAACAAGGCTTAGTAGCATATGCACTCTCTCCCTCTCACTTGTAAGGCCATCCCATTCATCTATAAAAGGGGATGCGTTATCTCTCAACAGATAGATTGACTCAGATTCATTAGATCGATCAAGTTCACTAGGACACAACAGCAGAACCACCAGGTTTGAACCACGAGCACATGCTCGAACACTTAGCTCATAGCGGGGATCCCGTCACTCTCGGCTCTTACGACCGGAGTCCGACCGGATCTCTTGTACCCCCATCTTTCTCCTCGTTTGTAACCCTACTGCAAACTTCGAGCACCTGGGCTCAGGAATAAAGTCACCGACCGACTCAAACTAGACGTAGGGCACGTTGCCTGAACCAGTATAAACCCTGTGCCATTGAGTGCTAGGCCACCTCCGATCACAACGTATGGCAAAACTACAAATATTTACGTGTTGGTCACTTTCTGCACCGACACCTTCGGTCGACTGCTCCCGCCGGCAACTCAATCCATCATCTCCGGTGGCGGCGGTGTGCGCCAGGATGGAATGGTGAACAACGTTCCGGTATTGACTCCCTCTTTACGCTAGTATCATGGGAAGTATGGAAACAATGGAATGCGCGCTGCTTCAGAGCGGCGGCCGTCGCACCTATCGACCTCATTTCGGCCATCAGAAGCGGGTCGTTGGGCAAAAGCCGGAGCTTCAGGACTTTCCAACTTGGCGACGCCGGGAGCAGGATAGAACACGGCGACAAACCGCGTCCGCACATAGTTCTTAACGCCTATGTAATCCCTTTTAAGCTTATGTTGCCGGCCGGCGTTGGCCATTTGTAATTTAAACTCTCTTCATTTTTAATACAAATGATACGCAATGCTCTTGCGTATTCGAGAAAAAAAAGATGGATCACCTTGAAGTAAAATTCCTTACCAAAGTAACAGGAAACATGGGGTTTGAAGCGTGTACAGTTCACTTCACATGATAGCACAGAATGCACTGGTACCAAACGACTACATAGAAATGGAACCAACAGTTCAGCTTATCACTCCAACTTATCTGGGCGGTTCCGTTCACCTCACGGCCCACTACAATGTTCCTTTCGGTGACAGCATTCAGATGCCCACCGAAAAAATGGAGCTTCGGACCGGGCCCTCCTCAAAAGCACAAGCCGGGAAGCCCAGGACCCACGTACCTAATGAGCACGGTCCATGGGCCACGTATCTGATGTCTGATGAGCACGGTCCATGCTCCGCCTCGGCAGTCGGCGCTGCGGACTGCGGTACGCGAGCCGCCGGGCGGGCACGGCCTCAGCGCCGCACCGACGCCTCACCGACTTTTGTCGGTGGTGGGTGCGGCCTCACGGTCACGGTTCCTGAATTCCTGATCTTTTATATAGGCACGGTAAGGGCCACGCACGAGAGAGTTGTAATTTTATTTTTAATTATTTTTCTGCGTATAAGTAATAATTTTAAAACGTTGGATGATTCACATAAACACGTGTCATGAATCTATAATAGGTGTCCACGGCTACTCTATAGGAACCGTTTTCACTGATCTTTCTTTTTCTTGGTTTCTAACACTCACGGAACATATGCTGCTACCACCAATGTGCGCGTGTATTGCAGGTGCCGGGCGTTATGCACTAGGCACCCTGGCCCTGCATTGGCTTGTGCTAATTTCATGTTCGAGAGTGAGCGTCGGATTTGCCACAACAAATGCGTGAACTCAAAGGCGCGGTGGCATCATGGCACTTATATAGATGGGATATAATAAGTCGTTTATTTAGCTATCTACAAACTATTTAATGTAACCATGATCAAACGTGAATAAGATTTTTTTTCGAAGGAATAAGATTTATGTATACTATTTTCGTTATTTCACAATACAAAAGAGATCACGTATATAAGTCATGATATCAAGTGATCATTGAGAGCTCGTGAAGTAATCTCAGTAATGATAGTTCTCGAATAACAAACCTTTTACTAGCAAATGCTTCTATATACTGAAATTACATGAACCACTCAACATATAAACCTTGCACGTAGGCACAATTTGCCCATTATGATTTTGGATACAAGTGAGCTAGCCTTGTTGGTTCACGGGATAGCCCACTTGCATCTCTAGTTGCGATGACACTACAAGCAATGCTCATTTCTCTCTTGAGGATTTTAGCAAACGGGGAGAAGTCATGATGATGACCATTTGTGTTCATCAGCATGCTAGCACACCATGCCGTCTTTTCCTTGCACAACGCCTCCAATACGGACTTCCTCCAATACGAATAGTCAAATTCCACTCTTGCAACAGCGTGCAACGCAATGAGGTGAAGGAGAAAAGGAAAGGGGGCAATTGGTGCCAATATGAGGATGGAGAAAGAGGATGAAGCGGCAAAAACTATAGGGTTCGCGCAAGCTGCGAACATGAACGACGTCCACAAGTGCCCCTCGCCTCTAGGTTCTCCTAGTCATCCTCTTAGTTCTCTTTGCTCTTTGTCCGCAGCGCCGCCCCCATGGCCCACCTGCAGCGGAGACATCCATTGAAGCACTCCACACGTGATTCTGGTGAAGCAATGCTTCTCGACTGATGTTGCTTCATTGTTAGCAGGGTCAGCTGCCATAGCCGTCATCAACAGGAGCAACGCATGGCCAAATCTAAGATGGAAACTAGCTGATGTTCGGCCTGTTCGCTGGTTGGTTTCTGAGCTGATAAGCCTGACTGGTGCTAGTTTCTTGTGAGAGAAAAATACAGTTGACTAGCTGATAAGCCCTGGCTGAAACCAACAAGCGAACGGGCCGGTTGTTGTGTCCTTGCGCAAAGGAAAGACTTGCCAATTGCCACCATCGTTACCATTTCTGAGCGCTGAAAATCACCCGCGCATGAGATTGAACCATGCGGTTGCATGCTCTAGATGATACACTCGTACACACAAAACATAAGTGAGATCGTATTCTTCACCTCGGGTAACCAGCCGAGATCGTCGTCTCGTGAGACGACTGTAGCTTCCTTCACGTTTTATCTCTTCTCTATCTCATCAAAATAAATCCACGCGAGATCATATAAATGGTATATTAATAGGTATTGTACCTACCCTCAGACTCATTCGGTCAAAGGATGCCCACTCATGAAGGGAATATACCGCCTGTTCGTTTTGGTCGTATTTGGCTTATAAATCATGGCTTATCAGTCAACGAATAGTATTTTTCTCTCACACCAAACTAGGCAACAGTATTTTCAAGCATGGTTTATAACCCAAACAAGCCCAAACGATCAGGGCTATATAGAGTGGGCACCAACACAACAGTGACTCCCCATCTAAGGCACCGTTTGGATACCGAATTTTTTGGCGAAATGCTACTGTAGCATTTTCGTTGTTATTTGACGAATAGTGTCCAATCATAATCTAATTAGGCTTAAAAGATTCGTCTCGTGGATTTTGTCTAAACTGTGTAATTAGTTTTATTTTTTATTTATATTTAATACTTCATGCATGCGTCAAAGATTCGATGTAATGGAGAATCTTAAAAAAAATTAGCATTTTGGAGTGGAACTAAACATGCCTAAAAAAAAAGTGACTGGATCAGTACGCGATAGTAGGACAATGGAGGAGCAACTGAGTAACCGAAACATGCCATTTTCGGCTCACCGTTGCGTTTTTTACAATTATTACTCACGGAATCAAAATGAAACTGGCATGGTGTCGGACTATACATACTCAGGTTCTGTTTGTTTGAGCTTTTAGCCACTCTTAAACTAATAACTTTTGGACTATTCAAAAGCCAAACAACTTTTATGAACAAAAGCCTATAAACTCACTATTATAGTAAGCTTCTGACTTATAGTTTCCAAGCGTTTTTTAGCTTTTAAAGGATCTATAAAACTAAAACTCCTAAAAGGCCCAAACAAACATGCCCCGCGGTCTTTCTTTTCCTGGTCAAGCACGTCGATCTTCCGGTCGCCAGCCGCGTGAAGGTCGTGAAGATGGTGCATAAATCTCTCCGTCTCCAGCACGTCGAACAATTTGCTTGACCGTCTCTCCGTCAGCGATTCCTCGCCAAGTCGCCATTCGTCAACTATACTACTTTTTTCCTTCTAGCAGCAGTAGATTGCTGCCAAACTTCGTAGCAAGTGCGCTTGCCTTTGCATCATAGACGTGTTCGCCGCCATTTTATTGGCCCGTAGCGTGCTTAGAGGCCGTGCGTGCACCGTGCGATCACGATCGAACCCCGGCGTGGCGTTGCTTTCCTGCTAAGCTTCCCGGGTCAAAGTCTCCCACCCACGGGGGTCACCAATCTCGAAGCAGATCCGACGGCGCATGGGCCCCTCACCGGACTCCCAAAGCCCAAATGAAAAGGGAAAAGTCTCCACCCTCGTCCCGTCCGTCCGGCTAATTCGCCCACCTCCGCCTCCGCTCCGCCTCACCCCACATCCACCCAGATCTCGCCGCGATGGGCCTCGCCGCCGCCGCCCGCGCGGTCCTCCTCCTCCTCGCCGTCGCCGGGGTCCTCCTCCGTCCGGCGGCGGCGGAGATCAAGCAGGAGTCCTTCAAGGACGACTCCCGCCCCTCCATCCTCTTCGAGAAGTTCGGCTTCGGCCTCAATGGCATGGTGTCAATCTCCGTCACCGGCGCCAAGGCCTCCTCCACGCTCGCTAGGCCCGACCCCGCACAGATCGGCTTCTTCCTCCTCTCCGACGAGTCGCTCTTCGAGGCCATCTACGATCAGCCGGCGCCCACGGATCTGAACCCCAACCCGGAGTCCTCCCCCACCTGCGTCCTCTCCAGCCCCTACGTCAGTCTGCTCTTCACCTTCGCGGACCTCAACGACAAGGGCTACTACAACAAGACTTTCCCCATCACCCACCCCGACGAGTACAGCCTCTTCTTTGCCAACTGCGCGCCGGAGACCAGCGTCACCATGGAGGTCCGCACCGACATGTACAACACCAACCCGGACGGCACCAAGGACTACCTCTCCGTCGGCATGGCCTCCGTCCCGGGGATCTACGCCTTCTTCGTCGTCTGCTATGTCGTGTTCCTGGCCGGGTGGCTCTACGTCACCCTCTACCGCAACCGCCTCTCCGCTCACCGCATCCACCACCTCATGTCGGGCCTGCTCGTCGCGCGAATGCTCTACTGCATCTCGGCGGCCGAGGACCAGCACTACATCCGCACCGCCGGGACACCGCACGGGTGGGACGTCATGTTCTACCTGTTCCAGCTCGTGAAGGGTGTCATCTTGTTCGCTGTGATTGCGCTGATTGGGACTGGGTGGTCGTTCCTGAAGCCATTCCTGCAGGACAAGGAGAAGAAAGTGCTCATGGTGGTGATCCCTCTGCAGGTTGCAGCTAACATCGCCGCCGCTGTGGTCGGCGAGACTGGCCCATTCTTGCAGGGATGGGTGACGTGGAACCAGATCTTCTTGTTTGTTGATGTGGCTTGCTGCTGTGCTGTGCTCTTCCCAGTCGTGTGGTCCATGCGATCTCTGCGGGAGTCATCCAAGACAGACGGCAAGGCGGCCAGAACCCTTGCCAAGCTCACGCTCTTCCGCCAGTTCTATGTTGTCGTGATTGGATACTTGTACTTCACCAGGATCATTGTGTATGCCCTCAAGACAATTACTAACTACAAATACAGATGGGTGAGCGTTGCAGCCGAGGAGGTGGCCACCATGGCATTCTACATGTTCATGTTCTACATGTTCAGGCCAGCTGAGAGGAACCAGTACTTTGCACTTGACGAGGACGATGAGGAAGCCGCAGAGATGGCGCTCCGTGAAGAGGAGTTTGAGCTCTAGACGACCACATGGATGTCCAATGACATGGGAATACAGCCATCTGCCATTCAGTTTCGCCTCGATGTAATGTTGATCATACTATACAGATTCAGGGTTTAGCTAATATTTGTCTATGTATTGTGGTAAATCTTCTCCCACTCCTTTTAGTTTCGGAAGCTGCCAATGAGACTTGTGATAACTAGATTTCTTGTGTTGCAGAAGTAAGGGGGAATTCAATCAATATTGCCATTTTGCCAAGTCTCGGTTTCAATTCTTGCTTTTTCAGTGTTCTATTTGCACTATGAATGGATGATTTTATTAGTGTGTGTGGACTGGGGATGGCATTGATAAGCATCATGTTGCCGTGACCTGTAAAGCCATATTATTGCTCGAAGCAGGTTCTGAATTTCAGATGGTTGTTGGGATTTAGACGTCCAAGTGGATGCTTTTCCTGAAATCTGGCTTGCTTGTTCGTGCATCACTTTCCGGCTTCTGAGATTCATAAGAGTGGCTGGAAGCCAAACGAGCCACTCAGCCACCTACAGGCAACCACAGGTTGGAGTCACTAGTAAGTGAAAATCGGCCTGAATAAACATCTTGTCAATAACTCAGCATACTTCTTGGTGTGTTCTGTATTAGCTTAAATAATCTGGGCTCGAGAAACAGGTGCGCGCGCGTGTGTGTGGGTTATGGACAAAGCTATTGGATGATCATCAGGTTCAGTTATAGTGTAGGCTAGTGATTTTCAGTTTTTAGGTAATGTTTACCCTGTTTCTTGATACCGAGTAATTGTCTATTTGATGACCCGGGTGTTCCGATAAGTAGTTGCGGTTGTGTTCCATTCTTAGCTCGGCTTTCTGAGCTTGAGCTTATTGCAGTCTTGGTACCTCAATTTGAACATCTGAGAGGACAGAAGTAGCGCAGACAGTGAACTGGCGTTCGGTCATCATTGCTTTTTGTTTGCCTCCTTTACCGTGAATGTCCACGTCCGTCGACCTATTAAGCTGTTTCGAAGTACAGAAATGGAGAAGCAAGACAGCGAGGGAGCTGTGCACACATTAAACTATATTCGGTTTAGAGAAAAAAATATTATTATTTTAGATTAAACACAGCAATTTAACTACTTCCTCTCGTTCCAAGTTGTAAGTTATTTTAGTTTTTCTAGCTACGGACCTATAAAATTCAGAAGAAATTATAATTTAGAACGGATTGCAATTTGGTTTCTGGCTTTTCTAGCTATGTAGCTATAAAAATCAGAACAAGTTATAATTTAGAACGAAATACAATTTGGAATGAAGGGAGTATTATTTTAGGCTAAACACAGGTATGAACCATGTTAATTTGTCCTACATGCTTCAAATCCTACGGTGGCTAGCTGTCCTATACGGGCTCTTACAGTCTTGGACCGCTTGCCAAGCGTCGGGGCTTGGTAATTTCCGGCTCCGTTTCGGGGTCTTTCTCCGCCCGCACGCACGCACTTCCAAGAAAATGATGCCAAAACAAAACTCACGGCAGCTTGACATCTTCCATTCATCCAGTCGATCATCCCTCGGGATTATCCATGTTCGTTTCGCTGAAATTTGCTGATGCTGATTTCTCGCGAGAGAAAACATGGTCCCTTCGTTGAAAAATATTGCTGAAACAGTGCTGAAGAACCGAACGGATAGTTCGGGTATTCCTTATTCCTCTCCCCTGTTGTTCGGATCGCCTGGGCGTTTGGTCCTAGCAGTTGGCATGATGTTTCTGCCGGTTGGGTCTGTAACTGTAAGTCAGGTGGTTTGGTCTATTAGGATAATCATGACTTGGCTGTCGAGTTCTTGCATTTGGGTCATGTACATGTGTGTCATGTACTGAGTGTGCACCTACTCAAAACGAGGGCCCCGTTTGTTTCGCTGAATCACTGTTTCGGCTAATTTGTTATGAGAGAAAAATACTGTTTCGGCTGAAAAAAAAACAAACTAAAAAGTACGGATTATAGGAGAAGCGAACGGACCGAGATGTGTTCTCGTGGAGGATTGAGTCAATTTGCATGTAGATTAGGCTAGTTAGCAAATTAGAATGTGCGTGTGTTGCACGTGATACTGGAGTAGTCTTCAGCATTGTTAGCTAGCTTCTAGGAGTTGCATGTGTTGAGGTACACGGCATAGTAGTGTTAGCGGCTGCATGTTAGCTGGGCACGTTTGGAGGCATGGCTTGGTTAGAGGACCGTTTCATGCGGCGTACGTGTAGCATATGAGTTTGTGGCTCGAAAGCTGCGGATACGTGCGAGCGTGCGCATGAGACCTGAGTAGTAGTTGCTCCTGTACGCATGTGGGCGGGCTATTTTAGCCGTGTATCCTGCTTGGTTCAGAGCGTCCCGAGTCGTGTGTTTGAATAATATAAGCCAAGATACAAGCGTTCGTCGCTGACAAGTCTATCTGTCTATTGTTCATCTTCTTCCGTCCGTTCTTCTACCTCCGTCCGTCGAGAGTTAGAGTGACCCGGTTCGTCAACAAGATTACGAAGAGTGATCGAGTTTCCATCCCCATTCTCCAGGTTCAGGGGAGTCGTATGGTACAAATAATGGCGAAAAAGACTGAAAGTTCCTGTGCCTCAAAGCCGAGTGCCCGAGGCAGAACAGTAGACTCCATAATTTTCAACAACTCGGTTAAATGGAAGACGAATGGAAATCTACAAGTGGTAATATTTCTGCACATGATAGACTGATATGTACACCGATGGTGTGCTAGACGACTGTCACCACATTTGTCTCTCCAGTCTCTGCCTTCACCCCTTTCAGCACACATTCACGTTTCATGCAAGCTTCAGTCGGCCTTGAGCTTTATGGAAGAGTATTGAGGCGAGGCACACACCGTCGCACCAGTTTGAGGACCTCATCAACGTTGATCACCGGAAACGCCAGGACCAAGACCAGCAGCCACTCGATGAAGCTAAGGGCAACGATTCCAAAAGCCGACGCAAAGAACAGAATATATAGGATCAAGAAGTGTAGACCAAAGGATCGGACACCGCCATGGCCAGGAGGAGCCAAGGGTCGACCCAAGGAGGCATGCATGGTCAATATAGGCTGGCGTCTTCAGACAGCGCGTTCAGGGAGTTAAACATCTCGATGGCGACCAAGAGTCCAAGACAGAGTGCGAGATCGTCGTGGCCTTCGCCTTTCCCTCCGTGAAGTAGTCGCAGGGGCTGTGCTAGCACAACAGATAGCAGGAAGAAGAATTTGGAGAACTGAAAGGGGGCAGAAGAAGAACAGCAAGATACAGGAGAGCATTGGGATGATTCGCTTCGGGGAAAAAAAATTGGTGTTCATACGATTGATACACTCTCTTACTCCAATCTCTCCAGGTTTTATAGTCTGTGCTAGGAAGCACGTTTACCCACTCTGAACCCATCACACATCTTGGGCCGCTTAGCTCTGGGCTTTGCTCTTGTCCCGTTTGCTTCAGATTGTTGCCCATCAGGCAGCGGAATGGTGACTGGTGTGGCTGGCGTCCAAGGTCCAACGAGGACACGCGGTCCCCTGCCGTGTACGGTTGATAGAGCCCAATGACCTGCTCATCAGACAAGAATTCATCCACTAAAAAAATGAGACAAGAATTCAGGTAACTGTAAACAATCCAAACCAGCACGTCCTCGCTACAAGCCATAGCAATTTCAGCCTTCACTGAATTTCTAATGCTGTCCCTACAAGTTTCAGGTGGCACGGTAGAAGTCCGTACCATGTAGCAGAACAAGACGCGAAGTTAGCATGGCTCTGGATGGTAAGGTTTATCGTGGTGGAACCTGTTCACTTGGTTTTAAGTTCTTGACTTGACATGGATGTTGACATTTTTCTATATTTATATTTCAAGATTTAACAGTGTTATTCTTTCAGTAACAGGTGACGTGTCCGTTGATAGCGAGACGCCTATAATAACTTAATTAATCTTGATATGTTAATATTAAGGCGCCTGTGGTAACTCCACTAATTTCAAGATGTTGACAACGATGTGTTCATACGTAGCATTAGAGCACGTACAATAATGGGCTTATAGCCGAGCTAGTAAGCATTTTTGCTGATGTGGAGGAGAGAGGAGAGGAGAGAGAAGAGAGCTTGGCTCTCATGCAAGCAACAAGCTGGACAAGGAAGAATAGGTATTTATGGGCCAAAACAAAAGTGCATGTCAGGAGGAATAGAAAAGAGAAAGTAACGTACCACGTAATAATAAAAAACTTTTTATAGCTAAATAGGAGACAACTATTATATAGCTTTGCTCTTATGGCTTAACTTATAGCCAAACATTTAACTCTATTATTCACCATGCTCTTATATGAACGTCTGCGTCTCCCAAGTGGCTGGTGGTCTTGGACAGGAATGAGCCCCTCTTGAATGCCCAAGCAGCTGTAAGGAATATTGACGCCACGCCACCTGACCGAGACTCCGGTGCATAGCCTAGTCTGGTCTAGCCACCGGATGAGCTATATTCTTTACACTGGTGAAATGTTAGTAAGTGAATAGATAAGCCTTCCAAGCGTGTGGTTAGGAGTAGAAAATACTCAGAAAAGGAGATGAGTCCTGCTCCTGCATTCAAGTTGACACATCCAGCTGCACGGCCCACCCTACCTGCACTGCACCCTTTAACATCAGGCAGCCGTCTTTTCGTCGTCCAATCCAATCGATCAACTCCAAAATTCTTTGTAAATCACCTGTATATTTAGCTAAGCAACATAGTTCTCCATCCATACATAGAAGAAAAAACAAGTTTAAGTGAAATTTTCGATAGAAAGCTGGTTTGGATTAAGTGGTATCTTTGCTGTCATAGGCAACTATTATATGCCGTTTTGTTTCGTGTTGCCTTTCTTTTGTTGAACTCTGTAAGAGTAAGACCTTGGTGGCTGATTTTTCAATATACTAGCATGCAACAGCCAGGTTTACGTACGTACGTACGTAATGTTTGATATATACTTGTCAAGTCACACTCACGGACGGTCGGTCCGGTGCGAGTTTGTTGAGCGATCGTTGACCCTCACGGCAAGGCGACCTAGGCATGGTATGCATGCATGCATAACATTAGTCCGTGCCTGGTCCCGAAGAGAAATTTCCAAGGCGAGAGCAGAGGAAAAGAGTTTCCAGATGCAGCAAGGTCCTGCCGTCTCGGTATCATCCTCTGTGCCTCGCCGGTTTGGTTTGGTGTGGTGCAGCTCATCTAATAAAATTCTATAAGCCTCGGTCGTCAGGGTCCACGCCGTGTTGCCGATCGCATTCTGGGCAGGGGCAGGGCATGCGCTCTGCTTGCTTTCCATTAGAAATTCGTTTGCCCAACAAGCAACGACCTCTGCAGAGGCTGAGAGCATGGAAACGCATCGTGCATGTAGTAGTAGGTTCTTGTTGCTGCACTGCAACCGGCGGCCGGCCTCCAATACGATATCGGACCACGTCAAATCTCTCGCGAACTTGATGTAGCTGCGTTGCAGAAGGTACACGGAGATTAAAGTACAGCAGAGCGAATCAGGAGTCACGACTCACGAGCACATGTACTAATACTCACTAATTAATGACCCACAAGTACCGGTATGACCCTCTGGATATGATGCACCTAACTGTAACCAACCTCTTCACACGATCACACACAGGTTAATATCTAACTCCATCTGTGTTTTCATGTAGTACTACCAACAACAACAACAACAAAAAACACTGTGTTAATGACGTACTATTCCATGGCATCTATGAGTATCACATGAAGAAGACCAAGACGGATGAGAAGATCGAATGGCTACGGGACGGCTTGTCGTCCTTCACATAGTTTGAATTTTAACGAGGGTTATGCTTTGCTCGTCACAGAAAGATGGAAGCTGGATGCTTTTTTGCTCCTACTAGAACGAGAGCTTCCGAACACCGAAACACAATTTCACCTAATAAAGGGCAAGGGAGCTATAGAGAGAACCACCAGAACAGAACAGAGTCCATGGTTATGGTTCTTCTGAGACTGTAGACTGCTCAAGCAGCAAAACTACAAAACGGCAGTTACTTTTTATAATCTTTCGACTTTGGACACATATAAAAAAAGAACAAAAAGCTAGTGGATCCAAGCATATGTATACTTGCAAAACCACTTATTGCTATCATCAAATCACCAGAAAAAAGAAGAATGCAAAAAAAAAAAAAAAAAGAACATGAACAATCACCACCTAATTAACTATATGTCTTCGCCTCCTCCTGCACGCTTACTTTCTCCCCATGGGCCATGGCCAGCGAGCTTCGACCATTCAAATGTACAACGGCGCGCGCGCGCATGTCCGTACCGTGGCGCGATCACCTCCTCTTATTCTTGCTGCCGAGCACGAGGCTGAAGTAGAAGAGGATCCGGAAGAGGAAACCCCAAGCCATGGTCACGAGCAGGCACTCCCACTTTCCGAGCTGCGTCACCGCCACCTCATGCAGGACGCCGCGGCCCGTGACGACGCACGTGTCGGCGCTGATCCCGACCCCGAGCGCGGAGCTGATGGACGCGAGCACCCGGGCCTTCACCGCGTCCGGCAGCACCGCCAGCGGGGAGTTGTCGAAGATCTGCGTGCCCCGCACGAAGCACTCGCCGCTGCGGGCGAACTCGTTCTGCAGCACGCCCTCGAACGGGTACTTGATCAGCGACAGGTAGTGGAACCAGATCCAGTAGGCCGGGATCCTGTCCCGGTTGATGAAGAAACCGCTGAAGAGCAGGAAGTAGGCGAGGATGGCCACCACCACGGTGTAGCCGATCATCACGTGCGGAATCACGCCGGAGAGGAACGTGACGAAGCCGCTGCCGGCCCAGAACGACGCCAGGATGGCCAGCGTGTAGAAGGCGAACCCGGGCACGCCTCCCGCGAGGCCGACGGCGAAGAAGGTGGTGAAGGCGAAGGCGAGGGAGAGCACCACGAGCGCCGGGAAGGTGACGATGGCGTTGGAGAGCACGTAGGAGGCGCGCCGGTACGCGCCGTAGGCCGTCTCGCGCAGGAACACGTAGCGCTCGTTGAGGAACACCGGCAGCGCGTCGGCGCAGGTGTAGAACATGGTGGACATGGCGAACGCGAAGAAGCCCAGCCGCTCCTGCGCTCCCTTGGGAGACTGGTCCAGCTTGAAGAAGACGGTGGCGAGGATCGCGCCCGTGACCACCACGGCTGCAAGGCGTATGAGGAACAGCTCGGGCATGCGACGCGTGTTGATCGCTGACCGCTTCGTCAGCACCTTCATCTCCACCCAGAACGGGTTGGCGTAGGTGTGCACGGACGCGGCCTCTCCGGCCACGTCCGAGCCCGACACCAGCTTCCCGCGCGAAATGCTCGCGCTGATGGCCTCCTTGAGCGACATCGTCGTTGGCGCCACCAACGACGACTGATCAGCGGCCGCCGAACCTTGTTGGCCAGGGCTCCGCGCGTGCATCTGCTGCCACGCGCGGTGGAAGTCGACGAGCGGCTTGGTCCCCGTGGGCGACGACTCGAACTCGCGGATCAGGTCGAGCGCGAACTCGGCGCGGTTCTCGTCGTCGGGCACCGGGAAGCCAAACTCGGCGAAGTAGGACGGGAGCGCGGAAGGCGGCCCGCTGAAGACGGTCCGGCCACCAGAGAGGAGGATGAGGCGGTCGAGGAGGCCGAGGATGCGCTGGCTCGGCTGGTGGATGGACGTGATGACAATGCTGCCACTCTCCGCGATGCGGCGAAGCACCTTGACCACCATGAACGCGGAGGTGGAGTCGAGCCCCGACGTGGGCTCGTCGAGGAACAGGAGGATCGGGTCGTGGATGATGTCGGTGCCGATGGAGACCCTGCGGCGCTCGCCTCCGGACACCCCGCGGTGGCCCTCGTCGCCGATAATGGTGTTGGCCGCGGCGCTGAGGCCGAGCTGGTCGATGAGCGCCTGCACGCGCGCGCGCTTCTTGGCCGGCGACAGCGCCCGCGGGAGGCGGAACTCGGCGGCGAAGGAGAGCGTCTCGGTGACGGTGAGCATGGGGAACAGCAGGTCGTCTTGCATGACGTACGCGGAGATGGACTTGAGGACGGTGCCCGTGAGGGGCTCCCCGTTGAGCGTGACGGCGCCCTTGAGCGCGTCGCGGGAGATGCGGTTGGCGAGCGCGTCGATGAAAGTGGACTTGCCGGAGCCGCTGGCGCCCATGACGGCCAGGATCTCGCCCTCCCTCGCCTCCCCGGAGACGCCGTCCAGCAGCGCCCTGGTGCGCGGCGCGTGCGCGACGGGCGCCGCGGCGGCGGCGGTGACGCGGTCGGAGCGGCGCTGCAGGGGCAGGCCGGCGGGCCCGCGCCCGCGCTGCTTGGCGCGGACGCTGTAGGTCAGGCTGCTGAACGCCAGGCGGAAGTGCACGGTCTGCCCGATGATGGCCGTCGCGCCAGCACCGTTGACGGCGCCGGCGCCTCCCGCCACCGCGTCATGTCCAGGCGTGGTGGGGAGCGGCAGCGAGAACACGGACGCGGAGCCGTCGTCGTCCGCGGCGGCCGCCGGGTCGACGGTGGCGGCGCCGACGAGGCGGAGCATCTCGGCGAGGGACGGGTTCCGGACCCTCTCCCGCACGGGCGGGGGCGGCGCCGGGGGCGAGGCTAGGAATGGGAGACGGTCCTGCACGGCGGGCGCCATTGCATGCAAGCGCGCAGCGCAGACTCGATCGATAAGCCTTGGCGTACGTACGTGCTGTGCTGCTGCACTTTCTCTTCCCACTGGCGCAAAAGCGAGCGAGCCGAGCTTAAGTAAGGGTGCGGGTGCGGGTCCAGTACCAGTACGTGGTCCGGCCCGTCCGCGGGAAGTGTGGCTTTCAGCCTTTCAGGAGAGGACGAGGAGAAGGGCGATGGGAGTGTGGGGGTCTGCGGGATGGTTGCGACTTGGCGAGGCGTGGAGCCCAAGTTTAAAGGCTGGTGGATTGGCCGCTTGGGGCGTTGTTGTCACGGAGAATGGCGCACGGTGTGGTCGTGGTGCGCGGGTCGTACGGACGTGTGGGCTGAGGTGGGAGGAAACGGAGAGGGGCCGAGGCGGCCGGGGGTGGTGGTGCTGGGCTGATGGTGTAGGAGACGGGATGGTGGCCAACGCGCGGGGTGGCGCCGCTGCCGCCGGGGAGTGCATGGTCAGCGACTCAGCGGGGACCGGGGAGAGTTACGGGGGGGAAAGCCGGGAAGGGGAGGGTGGGTTAGCTAGCTTCCACGTCGAATCGGTGCGATTTAGGTTGGGTGGGTGACGAGATACGGAGGATTTAGGAAGGAAACGGCAACTTGCATGCATCGGATACCAGTATACTATGTATATTCTTTGGGATCTTCTGTGGGGTGCAAGTATTCGACACGTTGCTGTTTTATAAGCATGCAGAAAAATGGCTGGTTCGGTGGCTTGTTTATAGTGCAGTATAAAACATGTAACCTTGGCAGAGTTGCGCCGTACAATTAGTTCGTCTAGATCTTCTTGGCTTGGTTAACTTAACATATCGCATAGGCTATGATCATTGTCAATGTTCTAGAGCGTGTTGATATGAAAAAGCGATAGGAAGCAAATGGAACGTTAGGTTCAACATCTGATGACCGCATTTCGATGTTTGAATGTCAGAAGTACGGTACGAGTTGGTAAGCAAATAACCTGAAGAGGGTGCTAGACTGCCATTGATTATTTATTTATTTTTAAAGTAGGAGTACTCCTTAATCCTTATGACAGCAGGTCAGCAGGTGCAGTATATGGGGCGGCCGGCCCGTGTGCCTTGATGGTAAACCAATTTGGTTACGATGTTAGAACGTTTCGCTGCATCAAATACATCCATCTCAGTTGTTAGTTTATTACCCTATACATGTCGTGTAAGCAGCCAAGAACTTGTTGTGACAAAGGTTATAAAACGAATGCCCTCTACTGCACCGCGCATATAATGAAATTTCCAGGGTTGGTACGTCCCGTATGGCCGTATAAATGCATAGGCTTCGTTGCCAGTACGTATCATTCACAAGTCGCAGCACCCCCACAGGCCACGTGGATACGCGCAACAAGCTTATACAAGTAGCGGTAAAGCCTATAAAAGGGCATCCCCTTTTCCGGATAGGAAACCCGAAAGCAACGGATAACCGCGGTACAATGCAAGCCTCCCGCTTAGTCGCACGATCGCATCGCCTGACGCAAGCGCAACGAATGGAAACGCCGAAACCTCAGACATCCATAAATTCCCACGACGCCGGCCAACTTCGGCTCGCAATGGCGATCACATGCGCTTGCATAACCCCCACTCCCCCCAGGCCCCAAGAGCACACTGCACACATGACAATTGACAGGTCCGTGGCTCGGAACCACACTGGCAGATTGCGATTCCTCGTTCTGTTAAAAAAAAGTTTTTTTTTTATTCTCATTGGCCCTATTCCTCCGCTCGGTTGCCTCGGGCGCAGGGTGGCGGTGCCTTTGCGCACCGCATCTGCCGCGCCGCAGCCGCTGGAACGAACCTGGCATCACGCGACGCCATCACTGTGCCACGCGCGGCACGGAACCAAGGTCCCCCGCTCGCCAACCTTGCCGTCCGTCTCGTCTCGGCAGCGGCGTGGCAGCCGCCCGCAGGGCACTGCTTCCCGGAGCTGGTAACCCCCCCGCTCTGTGGGGTGGACTGAAGTCAACTACCTACAGCACAACGCGGCAATCAGGCGGAGCGCGAACAGAACGGCGCGCCCATCGGCTCTGGCCGTGCATGGGTGGATACGATACGCCGCGCGTGGCCATCAGGCTGTGTGGCATGCCGCATGAGGGGCAGTTGACACGCCGCGCGGCGCAGCTTGCCTGACCCTGCCGATTTTTTTAACACTTTTTTAAACTATTTTTAAAACTGACACTGTTTAATTTTTTTTAAATATAACATTTTTTGTCGTGCCTATTCACGTGGCGCGGCGAAATCACGTTGTCGCTCCATGCATGGGACGCGGTAGGAGCGGCGACGTGGCAGCGACAAAGGCCGCTGAACGCTGACGTGGCCGGGACTGCCGCGCCGCGGATCTAGGTGCGTCACTGACGCGCCACGGCGCATGGCGCAGCAAGGAGGGGATGATTTGACGGGTTGCAATAATGCTGCTTCTATTACCGCTAGCACTAGCACTAGCACTATGGGAGCCGGTCAGGCCAGATCACTTTTTGCGAAAAGCAGTCAAAGAGCAACGCGTTGGTGATAAATGTCTTTTCTCTAGGCGTGTGACGTCTATCTTACCAAACAAAAAAATTGACGTGACCTTGATATGACCCTACAAGAAAAAGCTACATACTTAAACCTTGGGTTAGGAAACACAATAGCTTGAGTGCATCTAATCCTACGTGGATAATAACTTTTACGTGAGGCAGTCAATACTGTATGCCTCCATTGCACTTGCCCTAATAGATCAACGGATCACAGTGCTTGAGTGCTACGGAGTACACGAGTGATTGAGGTGGTGTACACACGCAAAGAAGAGATTGAGAGACTCTCTAGCAGGCTTGTCGCAGTAGCCCAGCCCGACAAACCCGACCAAGCCCGAAAATACCAAACCCAACGGCCGTGCATCTTTTTTGGACTTTGGACCGGGTCGGTCTAAGCTAAAAAAGGGGGAGTTTTTTCGGCATAGAAAAATCCTATCCACGACCATCCAACGGGTAAAGTTGGTTAGGCTCATACTGCACACATATTTTCTATAGTGGAAAAACTATACTATAGTGAATGGGCATATGGTCTAGTAGTAGGATAGTCTAGTGGAATGCTACCCACCAGGGTTTAAACCCAGGTGTTCGTACCTTTTTTCTGAATTTTTTCTAAAAAAATTAGGGTACACGCATGCGTGCGCGTTCGGTGATACAGCGCGTTTTCCGCGCACTAGAGGCTGGAGAGCCCCTCAATCTCTTCTTTGCGTGTGTACACCCCCTCAATCACTTGCGTACTCCGTAGCACTCAAGTAGTGTGTTCCGTTGATCCATTAGACTATCTCCAACAACAACACCCAAAATACAAGACCTATTCAATATTTGGGTAGCGCTACAGTCAAAGGGTTCAAAACCCATTCGACATCCTCTCCAACAACAGGACCTAAAAGAGAATTCTTTCTGCAAATGGGTTTCCAAGAGAGAGAATACTCATATATTATGTTGTGCCTATCAGACAATCCCAAAATAGGTATTCCATATAGGTACCCTGTTGGAGGCTGATTTTGAGTCTCCTGCTATCCATTTTGAGTTTGGCTGCCCATATGGATCACCTATTGGAGATAGTCTTAGGGCAAGCACAATGGAGGCATACAATATTGACTACCTCACGTAAAAGTTATCATCCACGTAGGATTAGATACACTCACGTTATTGTGTTTCCCAACCCAAGGTTTAAGTATGCAGCTTTTTCTTGTAGGGTCATATAAGGTCACGCCAATTTTTTTTGTCTCTACAGTGGTAGGATAGACGTCACACGCCTAGAAAAAAGACATTTATCAGAGACACATTTGCTTTCAATGCGTTGCTCTTTGACTGTTTCTATAAAAAGTGATCAGACCTGGCCGGCTCCCTAGTGCAAGTGCTAGTGGTAATAGAAGCAGCATTATTACAACCCATCAAATCATCCCCTCCTTGCCGCGTCATGCTTCGTGGCGGCGTCGCTGACGCTGTCGAGATCCACGGCAGCGGCGTTCCGCCACGCCGGCGCTCGGCCGCCCTCGTCATTGCCACGTCGCCGCCTCCTACCGCCCCCATGGCGGCGACAAAAGTGGTTTCGCCCAGCGCCATGCGAATAGACGCGCCAAAAAGTGTTATATTTGAAAAAAAATAAAGCGATGGGTCGATTCGGATTGGTGCGATTCATCCACCAATGGTGATCCTCCTCACGATTCACTATTCACCAAACCAAATTAAGCAGTGTTTTTCTCTCACAACAAACCAGCCGGTACAACGTTTTTCAGCCAAGTTTCAGACCAGCGAATGGGGCAGTGTTAGTTTTACAAATAGTTAAAAAAAATCACCCTGCCTGGCTGCCCTACTGTCAACTCGAGCGGTCAGATTTTTTTTTTGAACTCGAGCGGTCGGATCTCGAAACGAATCAACTCTAGGTCAATCCGCAAAAACCGGTCTGGCCGCTTTCCAGAATCGGTCTGGCTGTTTTTCAACAGATTGGCCTGAAAACCTACGAACGTCTCTCAGAACGATCCATTGGTGAGACACAACCAAGGTGTTCTAAGGTCGATAAGCGGCATGTTCGCTGTTTGGTTTCTCGGCTGATAAACTCGGCTGGTGCTGGTTTGTTGTGAGAGAAAAACACTGTTGGCTGGCTAATAAGCCCTGGCTGAAACCAACAAGCGAACATGCTGAAGATCGCCTAGAACATCCACGAGTCTCGTCGAGAGAAGCATATAGAACAATAAAAATGGGGTAGAAAGAGATTACGGTTTAAGATGTATATATACGATAATACTCTCATACGGGCGTCCGTCCTTATCCGGTTATCCGGACGCCACGCACCACACACACCCGCCTCGCTGCTGACGCTTTTCCCCATCGCTCGCTCCAGCCCGCGATGCTTGGCTCCTCAAGCTCGCTCCAGTCCACGAAGCGCGCGCCCGCCCGTGATGTTCGGCTCCTCAATCTGCGCTGCGCTCCATCCTGCGCGTGCCGCACTCCCCCAT